ATTCATTAAAATGAATTAAAAGAAAAAAACAACCAAAAAAGCCCATGGAGACAGTAAGAAACCGAGGTGCATAAGCAGGAAGAATGTGCTGACAATGTGGGTATTGTAATTAATGTTGCTGTTGTTATTATGTACCATCGAGTCGCTAGTGACCCTATGTATAAGAGCCCTAAATGCCGCTCTATCCTATGCCACCTCGCCATCTCAAACACACTCATTCCCACCATTCCACTCACAGAATTGATCCATCTCAAGGGTCTTCCTCTTCTGTGCCATCCCTCCACTCTTCCAAATATGATGTCCCTCTCCAAGGACCAGTCCTTCCTTGCAACATGACCAAAGCATGTCAGAATCCTTGACTCCAAGGAACACTCTGGCTTCACCCTCTCCAGAACAAACCTGTTTGTTCTCCTAGCAGTCCATGGTATATTCAACACTCTTCTCCAGCACCACAGCTCAAAGGCATCAATTCTCTTTCTATCATCCCTAGTCACTGTCCAACTCTCTGATGCATAGCACGTAATTGCAAAGACCATAGCCTGAACCAGGCACACCTCAGTCTCCTGCTGCCTGACGTCGTTACTATTCAGTACTCTTGAGATGTCCCTCACAGCTGACTTTCCAAATGCAATTCCTCTCCTAATTTCCTGGCTGCTGTTACCAAGAGTGTTGACTGTGTAAACTAAAACTGTTAACTATCTCAATCTCTTCACCATCCATTCTGATGCTGCCAATTGGCCCAGTGGTGAGAATCTTTGTTTTCCTGATGTTGAGCTTCAATTCATATTGAAGACTGCAGTCCTTGACCTTCTGCAGCAAGCCCTTCAGGTCCTCAGTTTCAGCAAGCAGGGTTGTGTCATCCTCGTAGCGCAGGTTTTTGATGATTCTTCCACCAATCCTGATGCCACATTCCTCCTCGTACAGCCCAGCATCTCAGATGATCTCTTCTGCACACAGATTGAAAAGGTATGGAGACAAAATACATCCCTGACAGACTCCCTTCCTGATTTTGAACCATCCAGTGTCTCCCTGTGTGAATGGTTGAGTGGAAAATAAATTTGCTCTGTGAATTTTCCATTCTAAGCATCAAGAAAACAAAAATTCTCACCATTGGACCAATCGATAACATCATGATAGATGGACAAAGATTGAGGTTATCAATAATTTGATTTTTCTTGGATATTCAATCAACCACAGGGCTAATAACACTTAAGAAATCAAAAGATGTGTTGCAGTTAGAAAACCTGCTGTCAAGGACCTTTCCAAAGTGCTAAAGAACAACAATGTCAGCTTAAAAATGAAGGTGTCACTGCTCCAAGCCATGGTCATTTCACTTACATTTAAAAGTTGGACAAGAAATAAGGCAGGCAGAAGAAGGACCTATGCCTCTGAGTTGTGGTATTGGGAAAAAGTACTGAATATCCTATGGACTGCCAAAAGAACCAACAAATTCATTTTGGTGGAAGTGCAACCAGGGTGCTCCTTAGAGGCTGGGATGGTGAAATTTTGCCTCATATTATTTGGACCTAATGTCAGGAAAGGCAGTCCTTGGAAAAGGACATCATGTTGGGGAAAGTGGAGAGTTAGAGCACGAGAGGAGGACCTGCAACAAGGCAGATTGATACAGTGACTGTAACAATGGGCTTGAGCATATAGGAGTTCATGAAGATGGTACAGGACAGATTTCAGACTCAAGGACACCTAACAACAATATTCAATATAAACAAATAATATGTATTTATCATCATTATTGTTGTTATTAGAGAGAAAGAGAAGCACTCTGGTGACATAGCCCACGAGGCATTGTGCTGCTAACGCCAAGGCCTAGCCTCTTAGCCTCTCTAATTCTTGGAATCCACCAGTGGCTCCATGGGAGAAGCCTAATGGTGGGTCAGCTATAAACAGGTTCCAACTTGGTAATGAGTTTGTCCCAGACACACACACACACCTATGCTGCAATGTACCGTTGAGTCAGAACTACCTTAAATGGCAGGACATGGAAAGCAAATAGCGAAATTTAGTATTGCTAGTACATGGTCTGACAATGTTTATATATAGCAAGGTCACCACCAATAGGGCTGTAGCAACACCAATAAACACTTTTAGTAAGGGACTTGTTAATATTTCGGCACCGGGCTTCTTTTTTTAATTTTTTTTTCTTTCTTACAACAACGCGGTAGTTCAGAGGTGTGAGGGACTATGGAGTTACTGGAAGAGAGGCATAAATTTATGGAAGGTGAGGAAAGGGCTGTGGTAAATAGAGGAAAGAAAACTAGGAGAACTCATTGTTCATAAGAGAAAAGCTAGGGCATGGATCCCGAGGAGAGGAAACAAGCGCTTTTATTTTTCTGAAAGGAATGCTGGGGTATGAATCTGGGGGAGGGACTTAACTAGTTCCGTACCCGGATTGTTGCACTGCCTGGGCAACCCCGCAGAGGCTCCTGTTTCCCACTAGCCACAATAGAGTGGGGAGGATACAATCTTTGGCTTTGATTAAAGAGGTGGGCGGTGTGGGCGGGAGGCAATAAGAACCCTGGTGGTGGTGGTGGTGGTGCTTGTGGTAAGAAGAGGTGGTCTCAGTGGGGAAGAAGGAACCAATCACCAGCGACTCTGGGCTCTCTCAGCCTCTAAGGCTCACAGCAGAAGTACGGGAGCTGCTGAATGCCTTCTCTAGCCCTGCAGGCGCCCAGGCGCAGCGCCTCTGGGGGCGCAGTCCAAGCCGCACTCCTGCGCACCGCGCACGCCTGGCTCGTGCGCCCCTGCGCCCCTGTGGGGACCCCTTGTCAAAGAAGTTGCAAGCCTTGCATGTTAACTGTGGTAGCACAAGGCAGAGGCAAGACACTGAGGAAGGCTGAAGGTAATGTTGGAGTTGGCGGCTTGCATCGTCCCCGTTAGCACCGGTTTAGCAGACAAGCCCACAGACTATCAGCCCCCCACAAGTCACATTGTAGTGACATATTAAAGCAATCTGATCGTAAGAAAACTTCACATTCTTCGTAGGGCAAAGAGGGACAGGATATCACCACCACCTCACAGTAACACCACAGAGAACAAACTCAAGCAATGCCTAATTGCGGAGGTCTCGCCAAACTCTGCATCCCGCGGGGAGGCTCTGGGTCTGCCCTGCAGAGTGCCCGCAGCGGGAGGGGTGGAATGGGAGCAGCACTGAGATCAAAGCAGATTATTGTGGGACTGCACAAAAGCAAACCCATGCGAGGAGTTTTGCCAGAAACACCACCGCCTGCATTGCGTCGGACCTGACCATCCCCAATGTGAAATCCTCTGGGAAGGTCGTGGCCAGGGACTGAGCCTGTGCAGGGCTGTGTTTCCATAAGGGAAATATAGTTGGTGGTCGGTTTTTCTGGTAGGAGAAAGGGAAAGACTGTCCTGGCAGGGGTGGTAATTGAATGACAATCCCCCTCTGGCAAGCTACCCCCTCATATTTTCCATCTACCTCCTCTCTCTTGCCCTCCCCCGCCCTCCCCAACCTACGCCCGGGTGGGCCAATCACTGCTCCGCATCTGAGGCGCTTTCTCAGGTTTCTGCTGATCTTGCAGCGCCCAGAAATGGACCGAGTGGACCCGCCGCTGCACGCACCCTGCTCTACTCTGAGCTACTGAAGCCTCCGGGCTCATCGCGTGGGCTCCGTGAGGTCCAAGCAGGGGAACAAGGCGTAGAGGCTACCTAGAGCCATGTAGATCCAGGCTCGCACGCGCTTGCCGCCTGGGATTGAATCAAGAGCTTCCATAGTGTTAGGAGGGGGCGAGAGTGCTGTTTATCGTCATTTGCTTCAGAGCTTTGGGAGAGGGTGGCATTTTGCTCCGGAACTCCCAGCAACGGAGGAGAGGGGACCTCGTCTCCAGATTGCTGGCAACGGGTGAGAAATGGGGGTAGGGAATGGACGTTTCCACGGCGGCGGCTTAGGAAAGCAGTTGCTCAACTGAGAGGGGCGTAGGAAGAGGGGAGCAGGCTGCGAGTTTGCCCCGGAGCCTCTCGGATGCTGCTGTTGCGGTGGCAGCAGCTCGCGTCCCGGTGCTGCAAAGGCGACCTGCCGCATTCCGACTTGGGCTCTCCGCCGACTCAGCACCGCCCCTGCACCAAGCCGGCCGGCCAGGTAGGGGGCTCCCCAGATCGGGGCTGCAGGAACAGGGGCTTGGGGCGACAGGGTTGGGGTGCTGGGGTGGTAGAGGTGCTGCTGGGACCCAGAACTTCTCCAACGTTTCTTTGCTTTTCCGATCTCTGTAGTTTAACGAAGTTGTAAACAGATCGGCTTGCTGGGCATTGGGATGGAAGTGGGATGGAAGAGCCCCAAAGTTGGATTTTTGGGTGTCTGCTTGTGTGTTTGTCTGTATGCATGTGATCTAACCCTAGCAAAAGCCTAGTGCTTTCTAAAAAAGCTAGAGGTCTGTGCTCGTCGGTGTCTGTAGCTCCGTCCCTTCTGAATGTTTCTGATTTTTCTACCCCCATATCACTTTCTATTTTTCTGCAGCGTCCATCGATCGCCTGGTGGGAGCTTAGAAGGCAGCAGGAGAAGAGGGGTAGGAGGGGGGAGAGCCGAGGAGAAACTGAGGGGGTGGCAGGAATGGGGATCTGCTGAGCTGACACTGCACCCCGTCCTAGAAAGGCTCGCAGAGGGCAGGGGAGGCCAGGGTGACCCCGAAGCAATGGCCTGGTCCTCTAGGATGCCACTGCGTTAAGGCGTCTTGGAGCAGGAGTGGGGGGGAAAGCTCAAACAAACCAAAACAACCAGCCAATCAGCAAACCAACCCCAGGCGAAAAGCTGCACTGGGGTTTTTTTGACTCAGGCAAGGGGGGGGGTGGTTCCAAATTGAGTCAAAGGTGGGGTGGAGGGGAAGGCAGCACCAAGTCCCAGCTTTCATGACCTCGGTGCTCTGAAGCCCCTCCCCTTGAGCGTGGGGGAGACGCGCACTCCGGTGGGGGGGGCGCCCGGGTCCCCCCCACCCCTCTTCCCTCGCCCTTTCCTACTCTGGCACCTCTCCGGGCCTCTCACATCCTCCACGCGACTTCAACCATGACGGTGATGTCCGGGGACAACGTGGATGAGGCTTCGGCCGCGCCGGGTCACCCCCAGGATGGCAGCTACCCGCGGCCAGCGGACCACGATGACCACGAATGCTGCGAGCGCGTGGTGATCAACATCTCCGGGCTGCGCTTCGAGACGCAGCTCAAGACCCTGGCGCAGTTCCCCAACACGCTGCTGGGAAACCCGAAGAAACGCATGCGCTACTTCGACCCGCTGAGAAACGAGTACTTCTTTGACCGCAACCGGCCCAGCTTCGATGCCATCCTTTACTATTACCAGTCCGGGGGCCGGCTGCGGAGGCCGGTCAACGTGCCCCTGGACATGTTCTCCGAGGAGATCAAGTTTTACGAACTGGGGGAGGAAGCCATGGAGAAGTTTCGGGAGGACGAGGGCTTCATTAAGGAGGAGGAGCGCCCCCTGCCCGAGAAGGAATACCAGCGCCAGGTGTGGCTGCTCTTCGAGTACCCTGAGAGCTCGGGGCCAGCTCGGGTCATTGCCATCGTCTCTGTCATGGTCATCCTCATCTCCATCGTCATCTTTTGCCTGGAGACCCTCCCCGAGCTGAAGGATGACAAGGACTTCACGGGCACCCTCCACCGCATCGACAACACCACGGTTATTTACACTTCCAACATCTTCACGGACCCCTTCTTCATCGTGGAAACCCTGTGCATCATCTGGTTCTCCTTCGAGCTGGTGGTGCGCTTCTTCGCGTGCCCCAGCAAAACGGACTTCTTCAAGAACATCATGAACTTCATCGACATCGTGGCCATCATCCCCTACTTCATCACGCTAGGGACTGAGATAGCTGAGCAGGAAGGGAACCAGAAGGGCGAGCAGGCCACGTCGCTGGCCATCCTCAGAGTCATCCGGTTGGTAAGGGTTTTTAGAATCTTCAAACTCTCCCGCCACTCTAAGGGCCTCCAGATCCTGGGCCAGACCCTCAAGGCTAGTATGAGAGAGTTAGGGCTGCTCATCTTTTTCCTCTTCATCGGGGTCATACTGTTTTCTAGTGCAGTGTACTTTGCCGAGGCGGAAGAAGCTGAGTCGCACTTCTCCAGTATCCCCGATGCTTTCTGGTGGGCGGTGGTGTCCATGACCACTGTAGGATACGGTGACATGTACCCTGTGACAATTGGAGGCAAGATCGTGGGCTCCTTGTGTGCCATCGCTGGTGTGCTGACAATTGCCCTGCCCGTACCTGTCATTGTGTCCAATTTCAACTATTTCTACCACCGAGAAACTGAGGGGGAAGAGCAGGCTCAGCTGCTCCACGTTAGCTCCCCTAATTTAGCCTCTGACAGTGACCTCAGTCGTCGCAGTTCCTCCACCATCAGCAAGTCTGAGTACATGGAGATCGAAGAGGATATGAATAATAGCATAGCCCATTATAGACAGCCCAATATCAGAACTGGCAATTGTACCACAGCTAACCAAAACTGTGTTAATAAGAGCAAGCTCCTGACCGATGTTTAAAAACCAAGCAAGCAGTAAAAAACAGCCCCCACTTAGCAGCTTGAAAGACTTACAAACTAAACAAAACAAGACCCCTTAGTGACTGACCCATGTCACACTCTGTAGATAATTTACTACATAGTCTTTGAATGCTCTATGTAACTGTCAATGCGTTGTTGGCATTGCATATTCTTGGCGTGGCAAAACCAGAAGCTTTCACAAGTCATGAAACAAGAAACTACTTTCATTTTATTTTTAAAAAAATGGGAAAAGGAAGAGTATTTTCTAAAACTGGTTTTTAAAAAATCAGTCCATGAAGTAGCCTAGGTAAAATAAGATTCATATGCTCCCCTCTCACAGAAACGTTTTAATCCTTTGGCTTATTTACCTTTTTTTTTTAAGCCTAAAAAAGTCCCCAGGTGATAATTTAGAAACATAAGACTAAAATTTGCATGGAATTCCAGCAGAAAAATCTTTGCAGACTGCACAGTGCATCAGATGTATTATATGTGACATGATATGCCATCCTCAATGGGCAAGGAACAAATGCGTTTCTTTTGATCAACTGAACTGCATAGTACAAAGTGAGAAACAAAATTACTTAAGACTGGTTCACAAAGCACCTTGTCAATCTAAAACTGGTCCTGGTGCATAGGAGTTTTCCCTCTGCCCCACCTCCTTGTAATCGAAACTGTTCCTTAAGAAAAAGTAAATGGAATTAAATCAATTGATTCATCTGCAGTGCTGCTAAATGTTCTAAACTACAGATGAGCCAGAACACAGAACACAGGTCATTCTTACTAGCCCTGCCCCCAAGCCCTGGCCTCCAGAACTGGACAAAACCCTTAGCCTCCTTATTGTAAGAGAGCACAAATGAAGTTAAATGTAAGCATGTCTGAACCTGATAGTATTTCTTTTATAAACGCATGTTGAGAACATTAACTCAGACAATAGGGAATAAGCTTACCTTGGAATTGACTCTTCTAAAAATAGATTATTTGTCATTTGCATTCACCAAAAGTGCACTCCTTCATTTATTAACTATTTTATTAGTAAATAAAGTACTGTATTTAAGTGCATATGTTAGTCAGATGGGAACAATAACTTTTTTGGAGCTCAAAGCATGTTCTTATTCAGCATCATGGCCTATTTGATTAAGGTGTACCTTGAACTAACTAATGCATGACTTCAGTTAAAAAATAATACAAAAAAGTTTAAAACTTTACAAGTTTGTGGGAAGAAGGGCCCAAAAGAAATTGTGGGGGGTGGGAGGGGAGGGGGGGCACTCAGTCAATTTTCCTGCCTTTGCTCAGGGAAAGGCTTAGTTTCTGTGCAGGTGTAGGCAGAGAGAGGACCAATATGCCCAGCCCTTAAAGGGGAACTATGTGGAAAAATAAATAAGTCATCAAATTATATATAGAACAAGAACAAGTATTCTTTCTAGCTGAAATAAACACAAGCAAAACAAACAAACAAAAAAAAGGTGCAATACTGCATGCATTTTGGTGCATTTCTTAGGATGTAAATGAAAATGTTTATCTATTGTATGCATCCAGAGCAGAGCTGATTTCTTTTTGCAGTCATGATTTGAAGTCTCTAGAGACTTCGGTCCTCCCCTTGAGGCTCCCTGAAGAAACTCAACCAATTGATTTAATAGTTGCTTAGTGCCTTTATCCTGTACCCACAGTGAACTGCAGAAAGTGCCTCTGTTAACACTGAGAAGTTAAGTGACAAAAGAGGGGAAGGGTTGGGGCACAGATATTTTGCTTTTTCTTTTTCCACCCTCGTTCTCTCACTTCACCACTGTGAGAAGACCACTCCGTCCCAAACCCTGGAGAGGAGCGATCCAGGAGGCTGCTGTCTCTCTGATCATCCCAAATAGACTTGGTCCCTTTGGCAGCCTGGTGCTGAATGTAAACAGGGGGCCCGAGACCCATCATTGAACTGGATGTGAACCGTGAACGTTTTTCCTCTCTTCTCCACTGGAAGCCAAGATAAACCTTTTGAGAATTTGTTTTCCATCGAGGACTGCTGTGGACATGCAAGGCTTCCTCGGGCCTGGTATTGTGTTCCTGGCACGTATCTGTATGCCTCTTCTATTAGCAACAATACTTTGCCTGCTCTCTGCTCTCTAAAGACCAAACTGATCGTCTGCTCTTTCCAGGCATCATTGTAGATGTGGGGACACTTGATTCATAATTTCCTAGGCCTTCCTTCCTGGCCCATCCCCTTCACGTACTACTTGTGAGTCTCCTGCCATCTTCCCACCTGGCAGTCACCTTACCAGCTGAACGTTTAACTTTGATGCCTCAGCCCCTCCACTCAAGAGCATGGCGGGGACTCTATGCCCAGTTGGAAAAGAGCCATGCCACACAGACGTCTGGAGCCCAGCAGCTGTCAACCATTGGAGAGGCAGCCACAGCCTTTTTAAGGACACCAAGGTGGGGAATCTTCAACCTGCACGTGGCACCTGCTGCTGACAGCCTGACACCCTTGCCTTGTGTCTTCTGGGAATCTTCCTCATTACCTCCATCCCTTTGGCCCACCTATCCTAGACTTAGCAATGAGGCAATAAATCAAGAAACTAAAGTCATACTTATGCTTGTTGACTCCATGAAAAGAAAGAACATGGGAATCTCATCTGTTCCTGTGTGGCTTCTGGGACGCTAAGAAGATGAGAGTGGCCAAGACCTCCACAGTGTTTGACTACAGGGCATTAACCCCTCCCGTCCCCTGATGGGATGCTTCCTTCTCTTTTGAACCTAAGCTTACCCTGCCTCATCCTACTTGCTTAACATTCTTCAGCTGGGGGGGGGGGAAGCCAACCTCCTCTCCCGCCCCTCCCCCAGAGTTTCAGGATGTCTAGATCTATTGTTTCTACTCTGAGGTATTAGGAATCACAGAACTCGAAACACTGCAGTCTGTCAACAGCAATAATCCACTTGGTACTGTGAGATGGATGGGTCAGAGCATGAGAAAACAGGATTGAGACTGAGACTGACTGGCTACTCGGTATCTCTCATAGTTTGCCCCCTGGACTGGTTGATTCTTCTGCATGCATTCCAGGACCAAGTGCTGCATGCGGTGGACCTGTTGGCCTGGGGTCGGGGATTGAGTTGTTCTCAATTTGGGGTGGAATGGGGAAAATGAATGCTGCTTCTCCATCTGTAGCTCATCGCAATGAAAAGTAGAAAGAGCGAAATACAGGGATTATTTGTGTAGCATAGGCATGTGAAGTTTGACCAAGCTCTTATACCTTGCACTGTAATGTGCTGAAATGTCTTTGTAGGCCTGAAGGTGCACTTAACAAACTGCCTATTAAGGAATGATGATCTTTTGGTTTACTTATTTATATTTGTTTTATTGGGCTTTTTGTCTTTCCCTCCCCTTCCTAGATATTTCAATAGCTCATGTCCTGAATACATGTTTTCTCCTGAAGGAGAAGACTTTTGACATGCTGATAGCCATAGTTCAGCTCTTCCAATGTACCAGGACCCTAGTTCAATAGGGTAGCAGTGGAAGAGTTGGGTCACACCAGGGCTGTTAGCCATCCCAGAATCTCTAAAGTGGTTCATTCACCTTAAGTGATCTGAATTAGAAAGACCAAAGACATTAATTTCCTCTGTCCTCAGATTTCTAGAAGACAGATTATAGCCAGGAAAGGTTTTTGTTTTTATGTCCACCCTTCCCCATTTGTACGCAAGCTCACCACCTCCCACCTACATCTCTTTGAGAGCTGAGTTTTGATTTTCAGTTCATCCAGTTCTTTGAAAGTACACCAGTGGGTTAGCCTAGGGGGAAAAAACAACAACAAAACACATTATGAATTCTTCTCCTGGAATTACAGGAAGTAGAGAGTCATTTCTCTAAAATGAAATTGTGTGGTAGATTTAGTTTCCATTATAGTGGAACTGAAGCACATATGACAGCATAATCTTGACTTACTTGACAACTGGCAAAACCAGACCGACCATCCATGAAGGATAGATTTCTTTAAGCAGATACTCCAAAAGGGCTTTGATTGTGTTGCTTATGTAGAGTTTTCAAATTGGTTGACATCTGAAAGAATCAGTGTAAATAGCTTCCTAACTTTTCCATTTAATAGAGGAGACCTCAAAACATATATTTTTAAAAATATGTAATTCCTCATTTGGTAGATTGGCTAAATCAGAAGGGAGAAAGGGAACATCCACAGAAGGAAATTTCCCATTTTTCCCCCTCAAGAATGATTTATTCCTGGGAGTGGAGAGAATTGGTGGGTGGTAGCCATCCATGCTATAAAATTGTTAGAATGAATATAAACTGCCAAACAACCATTTTATCTTTCAGCGTTGTCAAGCAAGGATGAAATCTTTTGATGTTTATGTACATTTTAAGATGACAAGCATGCTAAAGTTTTAAAACCAGACACAACACATGCTGAATTGTGGTCTCTGGAGGTGGCCTGCCATCTACCATGCGGTGTATTTGTACTTGTAATTATTTAATGGAATTTCAGGGTATATGCGAACATGCTCAGTATGACTCAGGTAAATCTTAGAAGAATGTACATTACTTACCATTTTTGTAAAGAAGCAAACAGGAGCTGAATTGCTAACCAAAACGGTTTCATTACCTTGAGTCACTGTGCTAAATCATTCAGGGTCTAGCTGTATAAGGTCTAAAGGCCTTGGGATCAAATGCTAGTCTCTTTGCTCAGGCAAAAATGACCATGGGCTTTTTTTGGGAAAGCCAGTGTGGTTGTAAGGGGTGGGGCCCTGCTGACCTCAGGACTATTAGCTTTAAGGAGATTAGCTCTAGTCACAGTGATTTTCATTTTAAAACTAATGTGGCATTTGCTTTTGATGACATAAATATCAAAGAATTTAGGAAAAAAACCCAATGTAGCTCAGAGAAGAAAAGAAATAGTGGAAGGAAACAAAATGGAAAGAAAAAAAAAACCAAACAGAAAAAACCAAGAAGTACCTTGCAAAATATTCCAGGTCAAAATTGTCTCCTCTCCAGAACATGCAGAATCACCTTTCTTCTCATTCGTCCGTTTTGGGACTTTGTAGCAGCTGTTA